ATATAATGAATACAAATGCCCCAAATCATGACTGTAATATTATTGATACAGGACTTTATTATGAAAATGTAACCTCAACAACAAGCCCCACAACCCACACACACACACACACACACACACACACACACACACACACACACAAACTGGTCAGAATAGACTGAAGACAATACTCAGATTTTACAAATACTGGACAATTGTCTTTATTGGTCTATGACTAGTTCTGGATTTAGAAGGCTTTGCATGGTTTGTTCAGGATGTGCAGGCCAAAGAGAATCTGGAGTCTGATTCAATTTCTGTGTTGTGTGAAAATCCTACTTCTCTCCAGCTGTATGCTGGGTACTGGGGGCCATCTGAGTCCTTACTTAATGAGATGTAACTCATAACTCCTTCCTCCATATGCTTGGGCTCATGCTGAGCTGCTCAAGACACAGAAAGCAGCACACAGGGAGACAGAGCTGGGAGAGGAAGAGAATTTCCCTTCCAGACTGATAGGCCCCCACCTTCCAAACAGCTCCTGCTGCTTTTGAGGTGGCTGTCTTCCCTGCCAATGTGTTTTGGTTCAAATCATTTTCTACAAAAACTGAAAATAACAATGAATTCCTCAAGATAGTCTCTGTATTTTGCAGGAGGTCAGTCTCAGATCTCTGCTCTGATTTTATTCCTATGTTTCTGCTTCTCACCCTACCCTGAAAAGCCTACTATTTTAATAGAGTAAGCACAAGCTTTTTGCAGTCTTCAGCACTGTCAATAACACACATTTCGAACTAAGCAAGCAAGGTCTGACAATGTACTTTTCTCTGGCATTTATAAGAACTTGGGTAGGAAAGGACTTGGGAAACTGTAACACTGGAGGGTAAGTTCTAGTGCTTAGGGTATTCAGATGTTGAATGTTTACAGTATCTACTCAGTGCCTGAAAGTCAGTATAGGAAAAATGCCAAAAAAGACAGAAAGCTGTGAACGTTACATGTATAGCATGTTTAGAGGCTTTTCACTCTCTAAAGGTAGTTATTATATGATGGCTAGAAAACAGCCAGGCACTGGTGGCTCACACCTATAATCCAAGATACTCAGGAGGCTGAGATCTGCGGATCACAGTTTGAAGCTAGCCCAGGCAAGAAAGTCTGTGGGACTCTTTATCTCTGATCAACTACTTAAAAAAAAAAAGCCAGAAGTGGAGCTGTGTCTGAAGTGGTAGAGTACTAACCTTGAGCATAATAGCTCAAGGACATTGATTAGACCAAGTTCAAGACCCAGAACTAGCCCACATACAAAAAAAATGTATATAACAATATCTAGATAACTTATTTAGAAAGAATACAGAAGTTATGGCTTAATAGGCAGGAGTAATATAGCTAAAATAGAACCTGAGGTGCTCTGGGAATCACTGAGTAAAGTGGGCCTCTAGACAGTATCTTGTATATGAGGGGCCCAAAGCGTATTTGAAAGAATTAATGAGGGGCTGGGAATGTGGCTCAAGTGGTAGAGCTCTTGCCTTGCATGCATGAGGCCCTGGGTTCGATTCCTCAGCACCACAGAAGTAAAAAGAAAAAAGCCGGAAATGGCGCTGTGGCTCAAGTGGTAGAGTGCTCGCCTTGAGCTGAAGATCTGAGGGGCAGCACCCAGGCCCAGAGTTCAGGCCCCACGACTGGACCCCCCCAAAATAAAGAATTAATGAACCCAACGAAAGGTATACATTGAAAAAAACCAGAGATCTGCAGTTTATAGAATCCATCTGTGGCTAAAGATAGTAAAAAATAGAATTACTCCAGCATCTTACCGCAGTCCTTAGGAAACACACACCAATGCAGAACACTTCAGAAGGAACTGCAGGGAACAGAAGGCATTCAGGTGGGACAGAAGAGTCTTGGGTGTGGTTCCATTCTCCTGACAGACCAGTCCCAATTACAGGGTTACCCGAGGATGGAGGCATGGGAAACAGAGAAATCCAGCAGCTCATTTCATCTTTCAACTGACATACACTGGTAGAAACTAACAGAGCGGCACACTTCAAATCCAATTATTGAAACCAACTAGTGTCAAGGCTTGTTAGGTTGCTCTGGATCCAGAGATGATGAACTAGGACAACATAAGCATGGCTTCTGAACTAGGACAGCAGCACCCCACAAGCCCAACCAAATTCCTAACATTCACTTGGTAAATGCTCACAGGGTCACAGAGAATTTTCCATGTTCAAGTTCCCTGTTAGGACCACAGATACAACAACAAACAAGATGAGATCCCTGACTAGATGATGAATCCTGGAAAGATGTCAAGGCCTCAACATCCTTTAAGGAAGAAGAAAGCCTGGAGAAATGAATATATACATATATATATACATATATATGTATACACATACATACATATATATGCATATCAAAACATAACCAGCCAAATACTTTATATGTAATTTACTAAAAATAAGACCCATGGTAGATATTCCCTCTCATACTACTGGCCTAAATTAGAAATACTGTCAGTGGTATTCAGTCTCTTCCGTCAAAAGCACTTCACAGCAAAGAAGGCAAGCAAACATGTTCTGGAAACAACCAACATGTATGCAAGGTAGTGTCACCTCTCTAAAGTATCAAAAGTACAGCCTTACCAAAGGCCTACCAAAAGTAGGCCTTACCATTCACTTGAGCTTGCAGTACTTCAGGGTGCTAACCAGTGGTGCTCTTCC